TCCCGGGAATTCCCGGCGGCTCCGGGCGCTTCCCGGCGGGATGCGGCGCCGGTTACGTAACGGCGGCGCGCGGCCGCGTCCCCTCCCGCTGCTGCCAGCGTCCATCTTGTGCCGCCGGAAAAATCCCCCCCCCCGCCCCGCTTCCCGCCGCCGGATTCCCGGGATCGCCCCGGGAGCCGCTCCGGGACGCCAGGGAATTCTGGGCGGCCGGAGGCTCCGAGCGGAGCCGGGATCCTCTGCGGTACCGGCAAGCCAGCCCGGTCGGGGGGGACGGGATGGTCTTTTCCCGGGAAAAACAACTTCCCGGGAAGCTCCGTGCGGGATTAGGAGCCGGCACCTGGCAGCCTCCGGCTCCTCTCAGCTGTTGCTCCCATAAAATAATTCAGGATCCGGCTTTTTGGGGTGGGATTTTGGGATGGGGAGTGGAGGCCGCCGCTCGGAGAAACTCGGGAGCTTCCTGCTGTTGGGGGCTGTTATTCCCGAGGGCTTGAGGCCGGTTCCGGCCGGTCTGCGGCTCTTCCACAGCTTGGGAATTCCCTCGGAGCCGCTTGAGGTGGGAGCGGAGCGGGAGGCGCTGGGAGTGTTCCCTGCGCTCCAGCCATGCCGGATTTTGGGATGTTCCCAGTGCTCCGGGTCTTGGGATGTTCCCTGTGCTCTAGCGATGCCGGATCTTGGGATATTCCCACTGTTCCGGCTCCGGGGATGCTGGATAGCAGGACATTCCCTGTGCTGTACCTATTGGCGTGCGACATTCCGGGCTATTCCCGGCACTCGGGGATGCCGGATCTCGGGATATTCCCTGCGCCGTGGCTATCAGCATGCGACATTCCAGGCCATTCCCGGTGCTCGGGGTCTCGGGATTCCAGAGCTCAGGATATTCCCGGTGCTCCACCTCTTGGAATGTGGCATCCCGGGCTATTCCCGGCGCTCTGGGGATGCCGGATCTTGGGATATTCCCAGTGTTCCAGCTCCCGGGATGCAGCATCCCGGGCTATTCCCTGCGCTCCGGCTCTGGGAATACCAGCTCTCAGGACATTCCCAGGACACGGTATCCAGGGCTATTCCCTGCGCTCCAGATCTCGGGACATTCCCGGCTCCCGGCACGCCGCGTCCCGGCCCTTCCCTACCCCGAGGCGCCGGCCCAACCGGCCGAGCAGCTCCCGGTGCCGGCGCTTCCGTCGGGAAGCGGCGCCGCGCGTCCCGCAGGAGCCATCCGAGCGCTCCCGAGGGGATCTCGGAGCGGCTCCCGGGGACGCGGCCGGCTGTAATTTCACCCTCTGGAAATTCCGGCGGCTCCGAGCACCGGTATTTTTAGCCCGGGAAAGGGGCTCGGGCCGGTTCCCGGGCACCGCTTTTCCTGCCGGGATGTGAGCGGCTCCATAGGGTGAGGGCAGAGCCGGGAGAGGCTGAAAATCCAAGGAATTCCATAGGTTGAGGACAGGGCCTGGGAGAGGCTGAAAATCCAGGGAAGCTTCCGTTGGAGAGGGATGTTGGGAGCCGACGCTCCGGAGGTTTCCTTGGGAGCCAATCCCGACCCTTTGCAGCAGCTCCATCCCACTGGAAGCACCGAAATTCCCACTGAGCGGCACTAAATCCCAGTGCCCCCCATTGGATTTTGCCCCCGGAGGTTTCCTTGGGAGCTGATCCCAACATTTCCCAACTGCTCCATCCCACTGGAAGCACCAAATTCCCACTGAGTGGCTCCAATAGTACCTAAATCCCGGTGCCCTCCTTGGATTTTGCCCCTAGAGGTTTCCTTGGGAGCTGATCCCAACCCTTCCCAGTGGCTCCATCCAGAATTCCCACCGAGTGGCTCCAATAGTGCTTAAATCCCAGTGCCCTCCATTGGATTTTGCCCCTGGAGGTTTCCTTGGAAGCTGATCCTGACCCTTTCCAGCGGCTCCATCCCACTGGAGGTGCCAAATTCCCACTGAGTGGCACTAAATCCCAGTGCCCCTCCTTGGATTTTGCCCCCAGAGCTTTCCTTGGGAGCCGATCCCAACCCTTCCCAGCAGCTCCATCCCCCTGGAGGCACCGAAATCCC